CGGTTTTTTTTTATTTTTTTATTATTTTAAAAGTTCATTATTTTCACTCATTGGAAAGAAAATTTCTCTTGATTTTGAGCTTGTAATAACTAATAACACTATAGTCTACAAACAATACGATGTTTAATACGAGTATACCTTTAATCGAATTATTATTTTTATGTTAACTTAGCTTTAATTAAACAAAAATAATTGTTAAATTTTTCAATCACGTCACACTTTTTTTGTTACAGACGATAATTTTCCTGCTTTCTGCGCAAATACCTCCAATTTAAAATTTATTTACATTCAAATTGTTGCTGAATTAATTATTGCGAAAAAAAGAAAACTGATCCAAAAAGTATAATAAAACCAAGTAAAATAAGTCACTTTTAATATGTTTTTTGGCGGTTTTTGTATTTTTGTTAATTACATATTTCTTAAACGTAATGTGGTGGACTTTTTTAAATAGTTTTTTTGAACTCAGTGTCTCAAAATCTATAAGAAAATAACTTTCATCTAATCGTGTAAACTAGCGTAATTTTTTCTCTGCGTTTTAAATCCCATCATATTGGCGTTTTATTTTTTTGACAACGATGTCGTTTTAACAGATGAGTAATGGTAAGAAAAAAAACAGCTTCTAAAAAACAGTCATTTTTAACAAAAACAATCATATTATCCAATTCATTAATTAATTATCAAAGTGACCGTTGTCAAAAAAAAATCGCCAATGTGATGGGACTTAAAAAGCAAAGAAAGATTATTATTACAAGTCCAACAGTAAGAAAAAAAAAATAACTTTTCTTTCCACTGACACAGAATAATGAAGTTTTAACTACAAATTTGCTCGTTTCAGATAAAACAAAAACAACCCTTGCTGTTAAAATGTTACTTTATCTACTCAAAAGAGTTTATAAAGAAATAGTTTAACATCTGCTATAGAAAAAAAGTATTTCCTTTACTTTTTAAGCGTAAAATAAAAGGTAAAAATTTGTTTCCTCTTGATTGGCTATTATAAAATGTTTTATTAAGTTCAGAATTTTAATTATAAAAGAAATAATTTGATAGAAATTAGCAAAATTCACAGTTTATTAAAAAATTCTGGCACTTAAAATAGTTCTACAATCTTGATTTTTGAAAGCTGTAGATAAAGAACCTTAAAAGTCAACTCAAGCTAAAAATTTTTTTCCTTTGCAGTTTTGGTGTAAAATCAAAGGTAAATATGTTTTTCCTCTTGTAAACCTAATCCGGGAACATACTGTATACTTGCAAAACACATTTCTTTAATAAATTTATGTATTTGTAATTTGATAATTTGAGCAAGCTTGTTTATTATAATCACAATTTAATGTATACGTTATAATCTATGCTCATTGAAGTAATTTTTACAAAAAGACATTTTTCGGGTCCTAAATAAAGGTTTTTCGACATATTACCTGCTCTCCAACTAGTTAGTCTGAAACGCTATTGCGACAAAGCGCAGCCCGAGTACAAAATTAGACTAGTGAAGAGTTTTTTCCCCGGGTGTACTACTTCTGATCAGTCAAATAAAACCAATTTTAGAACTTCTCCATTAATTACTGGATTTCGGAAGGAGTACCTCGTAGGAAAATCGTGATGGGTATGCCCCTCTATGGCCAGTCCTTCCGGCTGGAAAAACCTGAAAATCATGGTCTTAACGCCAAGGCTCCTGGTCCTGGTCAAGCCGGGGAGTACACCCGAGCTGCTGGTTTCTTGGCCTACTACGAAATCTGCCACAACATCAAAAACCAAGGTTGGACAGTCGTGCAAGACCCCAAACGTCGTATGGGCCCATACGCGTACAAAGGGGACCAATGGGTGTCTTTCGATGATAGGGAGATGATTAGGCTTAAATCTGAGTTTATAAGGAAGATGGATTTGGGTGGTGGGATGATCTGGGCGTTAGATTTGGACGATTTTAAGAACCGGTGTGGAGAGGGCCGACATCCCCTTTTGACTACCATTAGGAATGTCCTTGCGGAGGCTGGAACCGGCCAACAAGAACCAATCCCGCCCATTGATGAGGAACCACCGAAAGTTGAAGCTGTGGAAGCGGAACGAGAAGAGTCACCAAGTGTGCACTCGTCGACGGTGGTACCACCACCACAGCATTCGACGACGCAAAGTCTAGTTGATCCAAAATCCGAATTCAAAGTTGTTTGTTACTTCACGAATTGGGCATGGTACCGGCAAGGCGTCGGGAAGTACCTCCCGGGGGATATCGACCCAGATTTGTGTACCCACATCGTGTATGGGTTTGCGGTACTCAACGGCGACCAGTTGATCATCAAGCCGCATGATACTTGGGCCGATTTCGACAATAGTGAGTCCAAAAATGACAATTTTTAGTAGTCCGGTCAAAATAGAACTAAAATTCCGACAGAGCTAAATTTTGGTGGAGTTCTTGGGTACACCATTAGGAATAAACAAACTGTCAAAAGTCCCCATCGATCCCATGTGTGCTAAAAAAGTTATTCGAGGTCAAAGATCGAAATTTGACGTTTTTAAGATTTTTTTTCGAAAACAGCAAGTTTTATCAAAAAAGTAGCCCAGACAAAAATTATACAGGTGTCCGTCTAAACCACACTTTAAAACTATTGGTAGTTCGAATACACATATTTGTTTGAAAATTGGTACATAGCCATAATGCATTAAGTCCTCCTAAATGAAAATATTTTCAAGATGGCGGCACTTCCGGTTATACCGGAAGTCGCTCTCAACTTTCTTATTTTAAATATTTTTTACTGCGTTTTTGGATTAATCGGGTTATTTTAAGAGAGTTTTTGTCAGCTTTCCCTATACCCAAATTTAGCCGTTTTGAAATATTTGGAGTTTTTCAAAAAATTTTGGATCTGCACCTTCCACTTTAAAAATCGGTAACTCTGCAATTTTTTAAAATTTTGAATTCATTTTTTTGGCGTTTGAAAGAGAAAGCTTAGATCTTTCTTTTGGTGTTATCAAATTTTGAAAAAAAATTAACAAAACCTAAAATTTTAAGGTTACTTTTGTAATAATTCAAATACCCTTAACTCAATTTTTCCAAATGAAATACCCCAATTTTTATTTTACTGAATGGAAGAGAATTTAATTCTGCATCGATCTGTATTAACATTCCCTATACCTAAATTTAATAATTTTCAAGTTATGGACTTTTTTTTAAGACCACAGAAAATTTATTACTAGCCATATCCGTTTTCACATAGTTTGCTATAGAAATCAAAAATGTCAAAATTGTTTCTCAATAAACGTCGGCAGTGACTTATTATTTGACAAATAGTGCCAAAATATGGAGAGTCAAAGCTACTCAAACTTAGATTTAATTAATTTATTTTGTATTTATGGAGAGTGTAACAAAATTATGAAGTCGTTCATTAAACAAAAATAAATTTTTCTCACTTGTTAGCTTTAAATAATGATCGCATGGTAGAACCTATCAATAATAATTAAGTTTGTATAACTTTGATTCTCTATATTTTGGCACTATTTGTCAAATAATAAGTCACTGTCGACGTTTATTGAGAAACAATTTTGACATTTTTGATTTCCATAGCAAACTATGTGAAAACGGGTGTGGCTAGTAATAAATTTTCTGTAGTCTTAAAAAAAAGTACATAACTTGAAAATTATTAAATTTAGGTATAGGGAATGTTAATACAGATCAATTAAATTCTCTTCTATTTAGTAAAATAAAAATTGGGGTATTTCATTTGAAAAAATTGAGTTATGAGTATCTGAATTATTACAAAAGTAACCTTAAAATTTTGGGATATGTTTTTTTTTCAAAATTTGAAAACATCAGAAAAAACATCTAAGCTTTCTCTTTCAAACGCCAAAAAAACGAATTTAAAATCTTAAAAAATGGCAGAGTTACCGATTTTTAAAGTGGAAGGTGCAGATCCAAAATTTTTTAAAAAACTCCAAATATTTCAAAAACGGCTAAAATTAGGTATAGGAAAAGCTGATAAAAACTCCCTTAAAATAACCCGATTAATCCAAAAACGCAGCAAAAAATATACCTTTCCATTAAAAATAAGAAAGTTAAAACCGACTTCCGGTATAACCGGACGTGCCGCCATCTTGAAAATATTTTTATTTAGGAAGACTTAATGGTTTATGGCTATGTACCAATTTTCAAAGAAATGCGATTATTCCAACTCCCAATACTTCTAATGTGGGGTTTAGACGGAACACCCTGTAGATCTTAAAATTATCTACAAAATGGTCTTTATACTTTTTTTCTAAGAATCTACATCATAAGCACATACAGAGTGCGCCAGAACTCGCGCCCCAAAGACAAATGCCATGTAGGGTAAGGTACCAGGAACATAGAAAAAATTTAAAAAAATTCTATCTATAAAAATTTCAAAGTTATGAGAGTTTAAATTTTGCACTTTGACTCTTATTTATTTCTGTAGGATAAAGAATTTTCCAAGTTTTTTTGCTACAGGCTATTAGAAGCGAAAACAAGGAAGCTGTATCCTAAACTATAACTCTGTTTAATGTTATTTGTGGCTTTTATTGACAAGGTCACCAGTATTATTAAATAGACATAAAAAATGTCAAATGTCAAAAAATAAATGTCAAAAATTTTTGACATAGATTTTTTTAAACATTTTTTCAGGACTCTCCAATTACTCCATTTCAAGGAAGTGCGCAATTTTTTAAACACCCTGTATGTATTACCAAATAAATTCTTTTTAATTCTAATGGAATCGAAATATTTATAAGGGTAATGAAGTAGAAGAAAAATTTCAAGTAAGATAAGATACCAGGAACATAAAAAAAATGTTTTTCTAATTTGCGTTTATAATACGTTTATTAACGTCTCCAGTAGGAGTCGTTTATGGCTATCTACAAAAGCACACTGTGCTTTAATGAATTTAGGGTTATTTAGTTTTTGGATGCCGCTTTTGACTTGTCAGGTAACAAATTTTGCGTTGTTGCTTCGGCAATTGCGCGAATTTCGGGCGGAGTGCAAACTAAATTCTGTTTCTCATATTTTATTTATTATTATTATGTTGTAACACTAATAACTAATAATTTGTAAATTTTATTTTTAATGACAGACGGCAGAAATGACTCAAAAAAACAGGTGGGCGCCGAGTGTCACCAACCGATACCAACTAACACAAAATTCTCTAGGCGACAAAAATATATATTTTTTTAATTAAAATAAGAAAAAAGGGGGCGCAAATTAGAAAAAATAGCATAAAATACTCGTTTTATAATGGCATTGGCGCACTCATCCCATTCGTGCGCCAAATCAACCCTTATAAAACTTATTCTTTAATATACTATTAAAAAATTCTGACATTTATTTTTTTAGCACACATAGGATCGTTGGGGACTTTTGACACTTTATTTCTAATGGTGTACCCAAGGTCTCCACCAAAATTTAGCTCTGTCGGAATTTTCGTTATTTGACTACTATTTTTATGACTAATTTGACCAGACTATATAGGTACTACTCTTGTGTTTCAGAATTCTATGAAAAGGTCACATCTTATAAATCGAAGGGAATCAAGGTACTTGTTGCTATAGGAGGATGGAATGACTCCGCAGGTGACAAGTACTCGCGTCTGGTTAACAACCCATCGGCCCGGAGACGTTTCATAGCCCACGTTGTTGATTTCATCGAAACAAATAACTTTGATGGGTTGGATTTGGACTGGGAGTACCCCAAATGTTGGCAAGTCGATTGCAACAAAGGCCCGGCTTCTGATAAATCAGCATTTGCTGACTTTGTCAAAGAATTAAACGAAGCTTTCAAACCCAAAGGGTGGCTCTTATCAGCTGCAGTTTCGCCAAGTCGGCGAGTTGTAGATGCAGGGTATGACGTACCAGCCTTGTCCAAGTACCTAGATTGGATTGCTGTCATGTGTTACGATTACCATGGGCAATGGGACAAAATCACGGGTCACGTGGCTCCCATGTATGCCCATCCTGAAGATGCAGACGCCACTTTCAACACGGTGAGTTTACTTTTAGTACCATGAATGGTACTAACTGAGTTTCAGAATTTCACCATTCACTACTGGATTGAGAAAGGTGCAGATCGGAAAAAAATCGTGATGGGTATGCCCATGTATGGGCAATCGTTCTCGCTGGCTGATAACAACCAAAATGGGCTCAATGCACCCACTTATGGTGGCGGAGAAGCCGGGGAAGAAACCCGGGCTCGTGGTTTCCTAGCCTACTACGAGGTACCACTTGTGGTAATTTAGTTTTTTGGGGTAAATAATTTTGTTTTAGATTTGTACCAACGTTATTAAGAAAGGATGGAAGGTGGTACGAGACCGTCGGGGACGTATTGGCCCCTATGCGTACTTGCGCGACCAATGGGTCTCCTTTGATGATATAGGAATGATAAGACACAAATCTGAGTTTATCAAAGCCATGGGTCTTGGTGGTGGTATGATCTGGGCGTTGGATTTGGACGATTTTAAGAATCTCTGTGGGTGCGAGGAGTACCCATTACTCAGAACCATCAATCGGGTGTTGCGAGGGTACGCAAAACCTGACCCTAAATGTATCCTAGGCCGAGACAACGACAAACCTAAACCTCAACCTACCACCATGAAACCAACTACGACTCTAGATTATGAACCACAAGAACCGGTACTTCCGGCGGAAGTAGTACCATGTCAAGGCCGACTTTTCGTAGCCGATGACACCAACTGTGCGCAGTACTACTTGTGCAACCAAGGCCAACTCCAACTGCAAGTTTGCCCCAATGGTCTTTTCTGGAATAAGGACCATTGTGACTGGCCCGAAAACACCGAATGTCACCCAGACGCGAGCAGTACCATGGCACCATCAACCACCCCGATGGTACCGGAATCGGAAATGACCCACAAACCGGTCACGACCACCGACACTAATGACGACTATAAAGTCGTTTGCTACTTTACCAACTGGGCATGGTACCGCCAAGGCGATGGAAAGTACCTCCCACAAGATATCGACCCATCACTTTGTACTCACATCAATTACGGTTTTGCGGTCCTTGACTCGTCAAGTCTGACCTTGAAACCGCACGACTCATGGGCAGATATTGACAACGAGTTCTATAAAAAGGTCGTTTCGTACAAATCTCGCGGTGTTAAGGTACTAATAGCCTTGGGAGGTTGGAACGATTCTGCTGGTAATAAGTACTCGCGTCTGGTGAACAATCCCCAAGCCCGCGCAGCCTTCATAGCCCACGTTGTGGCCTTCATCGAAGAGTGGGACTTCGATGGCCTTGATTTGGACTGGGAGTACCCCAAATGCTGGCAAGTGGACTGCAACAAAGGCCCAGATTCGGACAAAGAAGCCTTCGCGGCCTTCATCCGCGAACTTAGTGCGGCCTTCAAGCCCAAAAACCTCCTGTTATCAGCCGCGGTATCCCCAAGCAAGGCCGTGATAGACGCAGGGTACAATGTTCCAGCCTTATCACAGTATTTGGACTGGATTGCAGTCATGACGTATGACTTCCACGGCCATTGGGACAAACAAACCGGACATGTAGCCCCCTTGTATTACTACCCCGGGGACGTCTACGACTATTTCAACGCTAACTTTTCCCTAAACTACTGGATCGAGAAAGGGGCGGATCCAGGAAAAATCGTGATGGGAATGCCCCTCTATGGGCAAAGTTTCAGTCTCGCTGACGCGGCCGAGAGGGGCCTCAACGCGAAATCGTACGGCCCTGGAGAAGCCGGCGAGTTTACCCGAGCCGGCGGCTTCCTAGCCTACTACGAGGTTTGTCAACTCATTTCAAAAAAAAACATTTGATTGTTTTTTCCATTTCCAGATTTGTGAAAGAGTGAAAAAGAGGGGATGGACGGTAACAAGAGATCCCCAAGGCCGGATTGGCCCATACGCCTACCTGTCCAACCAATGGGTCTCCTACGACGATATCGCCGAGATCAGACGCAAGTCGCGATTGGTCAAGGAACTCAAACTGGGCGGGGGCATGGTCTGGGCTTTGGATTTGGACGATTTTAAGAACAGATGTGGGTGTGGCAAACATCCCCTCTTGAAGACTTTAAACAATGAGTTGAGAGGGATGCCCTCTGACATCAGCGTGACTAATTGTACTTAAGTGTGATGCTTATACGAAATATTTCTCTTCTTTGAGCCGTCAAGGACGGCGAAAAGGATACGATAATATTTTTTTTCAGTTTCCTACTTATTTTTAAGGTTATGTAAGAATAAAATACGTTTTAAGACACTTTTTCTTTTATTTATTAAAACAATTATGCGCTTTTAGAACTAGTGGAAATGGTGGATGCGCTGGGATAATTTTTTGTTTGAAAATAAGTCAAATTAAACCAAAATTGCTGTGGTTTGTGATAGGGAAAGGAGGTGTAATGAAAGGCAGTGTTATGCAATAATTTTAAACGCTTTATTTTCTATTTATAATATATATTTTTTATAACAGTGTGTTAACAATGCAATATAATTATGTATAATAAATTTCGTAAGTATTTCACAATGTAAGACTCTATTTTGAAACTTGTTCTATCTAAGAAAAGTTAGAAGTAATTTGACTTTTTTGTATTTGTTATTAAAAACCATACATTTTGCATAAATTTCCGCATTGCGATAATTCACAGCACAACAAGAAATGATATTAACAACCCATCAACAGAACAATAATAAATCCAACCAACATCTTCCATATACAAATAAAATAAAAATAAAGCACATCATCACATAAACGGGTTCGTCGTCTTCCTTCAAACCCTCACGCAGTGAAATAAATATAGATTTTTTAGCAATTTATTTGTACTTGAGCTATCTATAAAAATAAATATATCCTACCCACGGGAAAATCTATACAATGTCTGCATAGGCGAGAGGAAGAAATCTGCCTTTGAAGAGGAACAAAAACAAAGAACAAATAATTTTAATTCAGATCAATTCCCATATTGACGCTGTGCAAATCCGGCTCAACTCCTAACCTAAAACTACGCATCGCGTCGCTTCGACACGACTTTAAACCGTCGCTATTCATCATCGGTGTCATACTCGCTCAAATAATCCTGAATCGGGATTGGTCGAGCGAACGGCGCCGAAGTCATCTGACTACAAGCAACCAATCAGATCGCAAGCCCCGCCTAGTCTCTCCCACCTACTTACATCAAGCGGCGGTAGTGGTTCAACCATTCCTCGACCATTTGAGCAACTAGCAGCGGACGCTTGTGCAGCAACTGTTGAGCCACCAGAATCCCGCCTTCGGTCTCGCACACATCCAACCACTGCCTCAGGATTGTCTCTTCGCGACCCAACTAACCAATCAAAACTACTCAATCACAAACCACACCCCAAACTCGACTAAAACCCTACCTCTGACTCGGTGAGGAAATGAATCGGAAGCAACTTCCGGTCCCGATCCATCAACGGAAGAAAGGTACTCTGCAACTGGTCGGCGCCGATGTTCGAATGTTGGGTTGAAGGCCGCGTATCTAGCCTACTGTAAGGTTCCAGAGGTACCAAAGCGGAGAAATGGCCTCGGGTGTAGCCCAGGGCTATAGGTGTGCGTACGCAGAAGCTTTGCTCCCACAACAACGGCAAATAGACGCCTTCGAAGCGGGCGTAACCGAGGGCTTCCCCTCGGAAACTCTTCACGTATTTCACTCCGTATACGATTATAGGGCGGCGCAGAATATGAGCTAAGGTAAAAACGTGTAATTGTTCTAGACTAGTCCCCGGTTGGCTCGCGAGTGACAGCAAACTCGTCCAGTCCTCCTCCCATTGGGCCTCGTCGAGGGAGTACTGGAGGAAGGACGCCTGACTCGCCTCGTACTCTTTCCATCGCGGATAAAACCTACAAAGCGGACAAAAAATCAAAACTTAGACGCCTTCATCGAGGAGGATACCTAAAAACTAGGATACGACACGATGTAAAACAAAACGTCCCCGTTAGTGAGGCCAGATAGCGCAGTTGTTCCTTTAAGAGCAATGAAATAAAAAAATGGCTGTTTTTATACAGGGCGCCAGAACTCGCGCCCCAGAGAAAACTTTCAAGTAAGGTAAAATACCAGGAACATGAAAAAAATGTTTAAAAAATTCTATCTGTCAAAAAATTTTGAGATTTATTTTTTGACATTTGACATTTTTTTATGTCTATTCAATGATACTGATGATCTTGTATATGTTTTTTTACAATTATTTAGTAAAGGAACCAAAAATTTTGTCAATAAAAGCCACAAATAACATTGAACAGAATTACAATTTAGAATACAGCTTCCTTGTTTCCTCTTCTAATAGCCTGTAGCAAAAAAACTTGGAAAATTATTTTTCCAACAGAAATAAATAGAGTCAAAGTGCAAAATTTAAACTCTCATAACTTCGAAATTTTGTCAGATAACATTTTTTTAACCATTTTTCCATGTTCCTCGTATCTTACCTTATATGGCATTTTTCTCTGGGGGCGAGTTCTGGCGCACCCTGTATAACGGTGAGCAAAACGGAAATAAAAAAAAATATAGACAGAGCATTAAATTCTCAATAATAAGAGATAAAGATAATGCAAAAATTTTATTGAAAACTATACAGGGTGATTCAGCTTAAATGACCCATTAGACCCCTCTTGGCAGACAACCTATAATACACAAAGCAATTATTCCTTGATTCATATTCGAATTTTGAAACATTCATGAATCGAAAAATATCTTTCTTTGATTCTCGATATTTTGAATCAAGAAATAAGTGCATAATGTATTATGTGTTGTCTGCCAAGAGGGGTCAGGTGGGTCATTTAAGCTGAATCACCCTGTATTTTAAAAAATTTCAAATATTCAAAATTTCAAATAAATACTATTAAAGGTACAAGAAAAATATAAAAAAGAAAGTTGTAGAGAATAACATTTTCAAGAAAAAAGGCCGTGAGAGATACTTCTATCTTCAATGGTTTAGGTCCTAAAGACGTTCAAAGACGCCCAAGTGACGAATACGTGTCATTTTTACCGGTGGTCAAGAGACAAAAAATTAATTTAAACCTAAACAGTTGAAGATAGAGATATGGTCTCGCAGACTTTTTTGTAGGAAATTTAATTCTCTACAACTTTGTTCCCTACACTTTTTTCAACGTATTCGCAGCTTTCTCAAAAATATCGAAAACAGTGTTAAAAATAAATTATAAACAATTATCAGTTTGCGTTCCGTCCAATATTTTTGAGAACGCTGCGAATACGGTTAAAGATACAAAAAAAGTGTAAGAAACAAAATTCTAGAGAATAAAATTTGCTACAAAAAAGTCTATCTTCAACGGTTTAGGTTTAAATTGCTTTAAAGTGTCCTTCTGGCACTGAATCACCAGTAAAAATGAAACGAATTCGTCGCTTGAGCGACTTTGAACATCTTTGAGGCCTACACCATTAAAGATAGACGGACTTTTTACTAGAAAATTTTATTCTCTACAGCTTTCTTTTTTGTATTTTTCTTATCTTCAACGGTATTCGCAGCATTTTGAAAAACATGAAACAGAGCACAGATTTTAAATTTTAAAATCCCAAAGCTCCGTATTTCTTCGATTACTTTGACAGTAAAGAAGATAACGAAATGCGGTTTCTTTTGGACGATAGACATTTTTTCTATGGTCCAAAAATATTTTCGTCATTATAGGTAATTCCTATATAGGGTAGCGCAACAAAGTTATATTTTTGCTTATGGAACACCCGGTATATTATGCGCTTATTTGAAAGAGTTTTTAATTCTAAGCTTACCCATATTAGGTTTTATGGGTCTATCATAGACCGTTTATCATTTATAGTCAATTTTATGGAAAAAAGTACCATTTTTGAAAATTCACAACGGCTTTGCTAGAAATAAAAAGTGAGTGAAAACAATTGCAACCATTTTTATTAAGTCTGGTCCTAAATTATTATGGTAGAAATTCAATCAATCTTTTGCAACTTGTTGACTGTTGACATTCGCAAAATATCAATTATCTTAGTTTTTTCAAATGAAACACCCTGTATGTTATTACTTTATCGTGTAGAGTTTTTAATAAGCTTCCTAAAAAACCCAGGGTTTGGAGGTCTAAACCTTACCTGTTTTATTGTACACCTTTTTAAACCTAGAAAATTTTAAATTATTCTATTTAGCGTTAAAAATCAAGTAGGTTTGCGTTCTAAAAAAATAGATAAATTTTTTAAGTTACGTAATCACCAAACATCAATTAAGAAAACAGGTTTATTGAAATACTGAGTAAAACTCAAGAAACGCTAATTGGAATTGAATTCAATCCAAGACCTTAATTATAAAAATCTGGTGTGAACATCACACGACTTTCCTTATCCTACTTATTTGTAAAACATCCTAATAACGACAATAATTTAGTGTAACCTTTGCGTTAGTGCCACCTGCCGGATTACAAGCGAAATAGATCATAGTTGTCGAGGGTTCAAGTCTGGGGTGCAGTTTTTTTCTAGTTCAATGCCTGTTACTATTATTATTTAATCACATTTTACTGTTTAATAAGTTATATTTCATGATTCTAAATAATTTGTATCCCCATGAATTTATTGTATCTTCAACCGTGTAATTTTGCGGCCGCTTTACGGCCAACTTTTGGTATTAGCAACCGAACGGTGGACCGATTTTTACCAATTGTTTCGTGCTACGTCCCCTTGCTACAAGTAACTTACATTTGTAGTCAACGTAACTTTAAAAAAATAACTTTTTTAGAAGAGGAAGTAACGCAAACGTACTTAATTTTTAAGGCTAAATAGAATACGTTAAAATTTTGTAGGTTTAAAGGGTGTACAATAAAACAGGTAAAGTTTAGACCTCCAAACCCTAGATTTTTTAGAAAGCTTATTAAAAGATCTACACGATAAAGTAACAACATACAGGGTTTTTCATAATTTAGGACCAGACTCAGTAAAAATGGTTGCAATTCTTTTTATTCACTTTTTCTTTCTAGAAAAAGTCGTTGTGATTTTTCAAAAATGGTACTTTTTTTTCATAAAATTGCCCATAAATGATAAACGGTCCATGATAAGACCCGTAAAACCCAATATGGATATTCTTAGAATTAAAAACTCATTCAAATAAGCGCATAATATACCGGGTGTTCCATAAGAAAAAATATAACTTTGTTGCGCCACCCTATACCGGGTGGGGCATCGGTTACGCACACTTGATAAATCGCGACTTCTAACTAATTAAAACTGGCTATGTTTCATATACCTAACTAATTATTGATATGGTATAATTTTATAA